CTTCCCGGCGGCCGGGCCACCCTCTGCTCTTCATCCAGCCAGTTCTTTGACACTCGAATGGGTTAAGATGATTAAGCAAAGCTTTGAGAAAGGCACTGGAAGTGACTGTGCAGGCAAGCTAAAAAAAATCAGTAAGGTTGCACACCACTTAATAGCAGCAGCATTATTTAACCATAAGCATGTCAATGCACACATTTCTGTGCATTCAGGATAGGAAATACAGACTCACCAAGGCCTGGTTGTTATCACTAAAGCGGGTAAAGAGTTGATTGGTGGTATCAAATAATGCCTTACAGATGAGCTCAAACCACTCTCTGCGTGGACCTCCCCAGTCCAGAGCTACAAAATAAAACAAGCTTGGTCAACCACGGGTCATCAGATCAAGAGTTTCATGCATGCTGCTCAGTATTACCTGACATGAGAGGTCATCACAGTGAACAGCTTCACAGCAAAAAAAGAACAGTAGACAGGAACTCCAGAACTCTAGGTTCTGCTCCCAAACCTAGTCCTAATATTTTTACTTGGGCCTCAGGTCCCTATGTAAAATAGGGATAAAATAGCAGCAGCAGGATAATACACTACCATCTGTGAGAAAGTGAAAGTTCTGGAAGCCACAAAGGATAGACATACTACAAGAAACCAGAATTTCAGACTTGAACTACTTCACCATCATTCCTTTCACTTCCTCCTCAAATATATTCACAGGATAACTCACCTTCTTCATCCTGAAAAATCACTTCAAAGTTTTTGCTCCAGTCAGAAACAGAAAAATTTCGTGTTGCTTTAAAAGACTGAAAAAAAAAAAAAAGAAAATTGGAGAAGCCATTACTGCTTGACACCCTGTAACTAATACACAATCCTGCACATGTGGATGTACAATTTAAGGAACACAAAACCCAAGAAACCGTCTAGTACTCTAAAGTATAAAAGTGAGAATTAGGAACTCCTAAAATCTAATTCTTATTTCTCCAAAGCCACAGAAGCCAATTCCATTATCCACATAAATACAGCTCATCTTAAAACCAGTGTGAGGTCTTAGCACAGCACAGACATATCCCTCTCAAGGCTGCAGTACAGTATTGTTTAAAGTATTAAAATGCCCGTGGGAAGGGGAAGGAGCAATTTCTGTAAAGCACTCTCAGCCCACAGGTTAGATTTAAAAAAGGAACGTTTCAGAGAGCATTAGAAAATAGCCTGAAGGGTTGACTGAGTTCATACTTAAAGCAAGTCACGATGCAAAAAAGTAACAAAATATTTCAAGTGTGTAGAACTTACGGTGTCCCGATTCTGGATTCCAATTAAATAAAATTAAAAAAGCTACATAGCAGTCCTCAGTTATACAAGTAGCTTTGGCTTAGCTTATCTTCAAGTAGGTTAAAGCATCATGCTAGTCACACCTCTGGGCTAAACACATTGGTCACATTCATTGTGCCTGTCAACCCTGGACACTAAAGCTTACATTTATTATTATTATTATGGCACTTAATTTATTTTGTCTTACTAGGCTGTAACATCAGTGCTCATGACAGTGCAGGAATTTCCAAAATAGCGGTAAAAAATAGTCATGGAAATACTGTTTAGAAGTGAAGTCATTTTGTAGCAAGCTGTTAACTGAAACATAATCTCATAAACACTGCAAGCTCGTACATGCAGAAAATATTCCAAAACACAGATTTACTGAGTGTAAATCAAGGGAAATCCCAGACACTGCTGCTTTCCCCAGAAATGTTCTTTTCCATCTTTATAACATTATTGTTGTGAGACACATGTGGAAGCAATAAGTCAGGATAACTGCCTGCCCTGTGTACACAGTATTTAGAACGTCAGTTAAGAACTGTATTATGACTCTTTAAGTTTGATTTTGGAAACACATCAGCTCAGGTCAACATCGGTGGAGACTTAACTCAAGGACTCTACAGAATATTTTAATCATCACACTAAACCACTACTAGAAGCCTGTCAATGCAAGAGTTCCAGACATGCAGCTCAGTAACACCTGACTTAACAGCTTACCTCACTGAACGGCTCTGTACCAGAAAAAACAGTAGAGAAAGACTCAAGAGCTCTAGGTTCTGCTCCCGAATCCGGTCCACGTAGACAGTGTCTCTCTAGGCCTCAGGTTCCAATGTAAAGTGGGGACAGAATAGCACCAGCAGATTTCCTGCTTTCACAGGCTATGCATTCATTTACCCTAGACATCTCTCAGGGCTTGGTTTACTCTGCACCAAGTTCCCTAAAAATTTATCAGAGGTGAAGTTTCTTAATTACTTAAGAAATTGATCTGATCTTACTGGCTGTAGAGAAAGAACACAGCATCCCACACAATACCAAACCTGAACACAGAGGAGCTACCTTGAGATTTTTTTTTTTTCCTGCCTCAAGCTGTCTATAGGCATCTGCCTTAAAACAGAAGGATTAATCATTTTTAGCATGGTTGCCCTAGCAGATGCCAGTTTGTATTTCTTTAGACACCTAACAGAAGAAAAAGAATGGAGGAAGTATTGGGCTTAAGCAAAGTGACCTATACACTCACCGACTCCAGCAGACAGTGACGGCTGACCTTCAGCGTGACCTTCGAATGAGGTCTTTTCATATGCACCTGACGTAGTTCTCGCTGAAAGAAGTTCACTTTGTCCTGGAAGGTCTCTGAGCCTCCTGGGAATAGCGACAAATTTGGGTCAGGCCTGAGCTGTCAACACCTCGAACATCTAGAAGGCATTCCTACGACTAACTGCTCAGATCAGCTGTACAGCTCAAGGATGAGTTTATTACAACAAGGTATGGAGACAGAACTCTAAAGGCAGTTTGCAGTTAGTCTTGCTGACATTCAGATACTCACAGGTGCGCTTTCAAAGAGCCTGACAGAAAAGCCAAACTGAAAAAGAACAGCTGGAATGATGAAATACATTCACTGGAAGCACCAACAGGAACAGCACATGAGACTCGAGGAATCAGAGTTCTCAGAGGTCATTCAGTGCTGGCAATCTTCATTCCCTGAGGAAACTAGCAGACTCAAGTGCCAACTTCCTGACTACTGTACCCACCTCACCGCCCCTTTACCTATGTTTTTATGCAGAGAACGAATGAAAGTGGCTGCCAAGATGTTCCTCTCCTTGCAGCTGAGCTCCACAGGGGGTTGGATCCCATCATCCACCACCAGTGTCAGTAATTTGTGCACAGGGTCAGGACCAAGGTATGAAAACTAGCAGTGAAATGATACAAGAAAGGGTAAACCCATCATGCAGATGGCACAGTATGTTCACTAGACAGAGCAACACCACCTGTGTTCTAAGACTTTCTCTGCACACTTCATGCAGATGCAATTAACAGGAACACTATTTCAAGCATCCAGACTCCAGTGAGGAGGCTGCTTCAAACTTCACACCTTAGCCTAGGGGCTTCAGTGGACACAGTCACAGTATTTTAGCAAGGTTATGAGGAAAATAAACAAGATAAATGCAAAAGAAATCAAGATTTTTGCCTAGCATTGGGACAAAAGGCAGGAAGGAGTGACACAATTGGCTCCCATTCATAAGTATTAGCAGAATTTAGGCACCGAGAGGGAATTCCAGAGTTCAATTTCACGGAATAAAATGTTGCTCTGTGGATGGAAGCCCTTCACTCCAAAAGGAAAAATCAGACTGTCATTTACAAAGACCACAAGCTAACAACACGGAGGTGCTGTGACAGTTACGTAGAAGGAGGCTCACCTTTGTGCCAGGACATACTCTAAAGGTGAAAAGGCGCCACGGAATGATCTTCAGGTAAAATTCTTTCACTGAGAATTGCTGAGTAACCACAAGGGGAAAAAAAAATGTTAAAGGTCACACATCTCTTAAGGGCTGTCTCTGAAACACATGAGGCACAGGACAGATCCCTAAGGCCAGACCTCCCTCCAACCCCAGGGACAGGTTTCTGCAACATTTGGTGACATCTTCTTCTGGCACAATACATAAAAACCTTTAAAGCTGTACAGAACGGCAAGCAGCTTGTCAGTAAGACTTTACTGTGTGCATTTACGATGCACGTGGGATCCCATCATGATAGAGATTTTACAGCAGTAAGCCACTGTGTTCAGTAGAACATCACCAGTCTAATTGGAAGGTAATATTAAGTACACTTGAGAGGCTGAATTCAGGACAAGATTGTAATACATTGACAAAAAAGGTTTTGGAAAAAGTCACACTAACAGGACCATTGCTACTACTCCCTAATTTGCACAACCGTTTGAAACAACTTTTAAGAAGCACTTGCAATTGCTAAATCCAGGAGATTTGCAGAAATTTCTTCTCAGATTTTCTGCCAGAACAAGTAACTACTAACTGTAGAACTGTCGCCTTCTGGAGAGCAAGCTAAGATGAAATTTTAGTATCTTCAGACAAAACACAAAACCATTTCCTGCACAAGCCTGTTCTAGCTGCAGTGACTGGAAAAAATTACAAGCAGCATTTCTCCAGAAACAAAGCAAATATGAACAGCAATCCCTTACCGAAATAAAATAGAGCATAGTAACAGTTATCTATTGTACAGGACAGATGCTCTAGGCATATATAGAGATATCCAGGGTTACAATTACGCAAGTGTCAGAATTGCATTAACAACTTCGGCACCTAAGGGAAACCTGCAACAGTACCCACTTCTAGTGATGTCCTTTAGCAGGTAATGCAATAGAAAAAGAGTATGAAAGTCCAGAACAATACTAAAGGATGAAAGCATGCTGAGCTCATGAGGACCCAGCACGCATTCCCAAAGTCCGTTCCTAGAGCTGCATGCAGCAGAAATTTAGAAATATCTAGCAACACCCTCCATCCTATAACTGTTTCACAGCCCTCTTTCTCTCTCTGTCAGGAAGGCAGTTCCTTCACTTTGATATTTATCACTGCATTTTTCAGAATGTATTCAGACTGATAGATTAACAAAGTGAATTTAAATTTGTTAGTAGATATAGTGGAATTTTCTTTCTAGTTTCCCTGAATGCTCACAGGCAATAATAAGGGGTAATAGTTTCTATTAACATATTCTTACTATATGAGAATCCTCAGTTTCTCTTGACTTGCTTGAATCATGTTTCTTCTACTTATACACTTACCCTTTGTCCTCTGAACATTTTTTTTCCTTTTCTTTTCCCTGAAATGTTTAAGAAACAGGACAAAGACACAAAATCTGAGAATTGTCTTCCTCAAAGTTCTGATATACAGGTATCAGAAACTGAGAAAGGGAATTGCAGGTCTGACTTGACCAGAGCAAAGGCAAGGCAAACAAACAAATCTATTGAACAAACAAAATAATCTATTGAACAATCACTAAGAAAATTCCCAGTAGGCTTTGGACCAGACCTAGAAAGACACAAGGAGTCTAAAACTTCAAGGAGCATTTTAACGTTATTCTTATTCATGAGCTCCATATTTGGTGTCTAGCCTTAGGCAAATCTTTTTTAACCAAATCTGAGGCACCTAAATCTGGAGTTAATATGTACGGCACAAGGAAGCTCTTCAGTTGCAGTGTACTTTAAACATGCACTGAAGGATAACTTTGTGATATTTACCTTAGGTGACACATAGCAGTATACTTTTTTAGGTTTCTTCACTTTCTCAGGGGTTTGGCTGTCAGAAGGAGAATCTTCATCTTCATCCTCAGTTGCAGTAGAAGGACGGCGCTGTGAGGAGCTCAGGTGTGTTGGTGGAAGTTGCCACTGAGTGTTGGTATAACTAGGAGCATCATAAAGGTAGGCTTCAAAGTAAATACTGACACCTGAGGTGGACACGTTGCGTTCTACGATGTTCTTTTCATTCTCTGAGGGAAACAGATAGGAGACCAGAATCAAAAAGTAAAGAATCCACAAATAACCACCAAATTAGTCACTATGATTTTACAGAAAAGGCTACACTCCAAAGGAAAACCTGGTCAAGTGAAACTCTTATAAGGAGAACCCAGGAGTGGGACGACAAGATTTCAAGACACCAGTTTGTCTGTCCTGGCTTCAGACAATGACTGGTTTAAGAAAAAAGGAAAAAGGCATACAGAACCTCTCTCTCAGAGCAGCAGCCTGAAGGCATAGCTACTTGACAGCCACATTGCAGACTGGCTCACTCCTGAAGAAACCAGGAATTATAAAATTGTAAAAAAGCACATAGGTTACATGCAGTGTTCTTCATCCATATAGCTTAACATACAATACACGACCGGCTCACTTCTGGTATGGCTCAGATGCCAAGTACTAGCAAGCAATAAAAATTGCCTAATCTCAGAGGTAAACCTCATGTGCTTTTATCTGCTGATGGAACAGAGAGAATCAGCCTTTAGAGATCTCCCTTGTCAGCAGCAAATTCATTTACCTTAGCATTTCTAGAGCAATTAAGCATGGCTAGCCTGCAGGGAAGCCACATTTAGCTCTGCTACACGAGTGTGCAAAGCACTGGAGAATGAACAGTGAGTAGCTCTTCACTCACCACTTAGAACAATGATGTCAAAATCACCATTGCTTATGGGCTGATTCTGATAGGAGATGCAGGCATGGAAACACCCCCTACAGTGCAAGGTGAGTCGGAAGAACACTTCGCAAGTCTGCCGATTGGACACCACAGACTTCTCAAACACAACGTCCGAGCTCTCTTCTTCTTGAGGACCCAGCTAAACAGAAAACAAATTAATAGAGGGGGCTCTCTAGCTCACCTCAACTCACGCAGCAAGGGATGAAGTTGCACTCACCTCATGGATGGAGAGGCTGTAATTGTGCTCCTCTATCAGGGACACAGAATTGCTGGTGGGATTGTCATACTCATCTCTAGGAACTATCTGCAGAGTGTGCTGCTGTCCACAGGTCAGCACCAGAGTGGAGAAATGGCAGACAATTTTGGTTTTGGAGGGAACCACCATCCCTGAAGCAGACAACAACAGTTTAGAGTCAAACAAATTCCAAGGTGCAGCTGCAAAGAGCAAAGGAGAAGCAACTAGGGGCACAATACCCTTGAAAATAGATCAAATCTAAACACATTCTATGCCCCTACATTCAAAAAACAAAGTATCTGAGCCCTGAAATACATGGTGTGGTGCACAGGGCCAGAAACTGAACACTGATAAAGCAAACCCAGTTACTAGCCCTCTAAAGAATGTTTCTTCCACCATTCTAACCTTCAATTCAAGAACTTGCTCCCACTGCACACACAAAGTACAAGACAGCTGACATCCAAGGAAACCTGCAAATTCTGCTTACCCAACTTTAGTCTAGAAGGTATTTGAGTTAAATCTGAGCTTCCTCTTCCTGAATGGGCATCTTAGGAAGCTTTGTATCTATTCACAATGCAATAGAATAGAGGTACTTTCAATTAACGTGTACATGAAATATGAAAGATGCCGACTGGGGTCAAAACACAAAAGTACAAGGAAACAAATTTAAAATTAATAAAAAGGAAATGTTTTTAAAGAAGTGTAAAATCAAAGGTATCAACAGCTCCAGGAACTTAAAGGAATAGAGTAGGGTATTCAAAAGAGGAGTCGTCAAATCATGGCAGCGTTTCCAATTCAGATACAAATAACTCAATCCTTTCACAAAAGGTATTCTCTGACTACTAGATGGATCATGAAGAAGTTACTACAAAACGGAGAAAATGACACAAGTGGTTAGGGAGTAGTAATGACTTATTCTGTAAGGCAGTTTCTATTTTGCCATGTACTGGCAGTCACAAGCATGTTTTAGTCCTAAGTCTACTGCTGGGATCTACATATGGCAAGAGAAAAATGGTGAAGGGTAACCCTTTCCCTGTCACCTACCTATTTTAGCTGGAAACACATTTACCTAACTGCCTCCAATACCTCCAAATCTACTTTGAGTCATTAGAGGGTCACTTGGACCTTACCTGGCTGGAACACCTTGTAGTAGGGGCTGTAGGCCACATTCAACCCACCAAGTTTTACAGTGATCTCGTATCTCCCAGCCCTGCGCACAGTGAAGGCCACTTTCACCACATTGGAATTAGGCTCCTGAAGAACTTCCTGGGTTACAGGAATATCAATTGCTAGCTCCACATGGCAGATGTGAACTCGCAGCCCCACAGGCCGGTGAGCAGAGAAGGGTTGCCCATTTTTATAGAATAACTGCATGGGAAATGGAGAAGTCCAGGTCAGCAAAAATATGCAGTGCAGAGAGGAACAGAAAGCAAGTCACCTTGGGGAAACAAGGGCAAAAACCCCAGCTCAGCAAAGGGAAAAAAAAAAAAATTAACAGCCAGCTCTGTCACACAGGCTGTGCTCTCCCAAGCAAACAGGGCACAAGTGGGCATTGAACAGCCTCATTCTCTTTCGTGCTGGGGTTCAAATAAGTGTCCTGAAAAGAACATGCCTCTAGGCATTTCTTCTCTGCAATGTTAGTGTAATATCAGAGCAGAAACCAAGAGAACCCACTACTGAAAGGAAAAAAGCAAAGTCACAGCCTTTCAGAGAAACAAGCAGATTTTGTCCATTTTTGTACAGCTGAGCTCTGCAAAAGCTCTCACCAATTTCTTAGAGAAAACAGTGTGGAGAAAATGCTGACCCAGTCTGTAGTGATAAAGAAGCATCAGCATGAAAACAACGTGTTCAATAAAATCGCAGGCAGCTCCATCACAGAAGTGATCTGCCAGATAATGTCAGAAGGTAACATACACCAACCGGTACTTCCTCACAAGGAAAGAATTACACCCTTGAACCCTATCTGCACGGTTCTTCAAGAGCCAGCAGCTCGTGGGCCAGATCCTACCTGCCATCTGCAATCAGCCTGAGTCAGCAAAAGGTTACTATTATGCCCTGTTTCTAAAAAAGGGGCCTGAGGTAGTATGTATCTTGCCTGTCGGTGAGATAAACCAGTGCATGCAACAGCTACTATTGATGAATAAAGGGCTAAGCAAATGGGAGACAAGCATGAAGTGGAAGGGCACACCGCTGGAGCCACCATGACTGAGAGTCAGTAAGGCGAAGGGAATAAATTTAAACAGGAACAGAACAAGTCCCTTTCCCCTCAGCTCTTTTTCACTGACTGCCCTGGAGTTAGAACTCCTCACCTTCAAGCAGAAAGGTTTTCCTCACCTTCCTGAGGGGGAAGGGTATGGCTACCTAGCTGAACCTGTCTTATTTTGATACCCTTCTGGGTGAGGAAGGTGGTGCAGAAAGGTAGGCACATGAGCCCAGCAAAATCCATTCAAACATTCTCCATGTAGCTCCAAACCCTCAATGTTCACGCCTCTCACCTATCTTCTTTGTATACTTCACCCCTTCCCCTACACTTGGCCTTTTGGAATTGGAGGGAAACAAGTCTTGGCAGGCTTTTCCAGGTCAGACAGAATAATACTCAATTTTGGAGGAACAGGGACTGGCCATGAAGCTTGACAGCTCTTGGGTTGGAAAAATGCCCACTCCCATGCTCCCAACTTCAGCTGCACAACCAAAAGATAGCACCGAGTCTACTGAAGGCAAAGCTCAGCCCACTCACTTCCCAGTAAAGGGAGTAGTAGGTAGGACAAGCCTTGTTTCCTCAGGCTCTTCAGAGGATTCTAAAGAGAGGGAGATAAGATTTTAAGGAGTGCAAACCTCAGATATGCACTCACAGAGTTCTGCAACACAGTCACAGGGGGCAGAAGGCAAACAGATAGCTTTCCTACTCTTAAGTCACATCCAGCTTGGCCCCCCAAAAAAAATTTGAAGAGCCCATCCCTAACTCAGACCTCTGTTCCTGCCCCCAAAGTCGCATGGAAACAGAAATATTCCCTTACATGCACTCGGAAGGCCATACTATGGCCCACCTCATAGGGGTCCTTCCAATCCCAGGAGATTTTGCAGGACCGGGGATCCAGGTAGTTGCCTCGCACGTAGTCATAAATAGTTCGCTCCCCTCGGCGTTCCCGGTCCTCATGCTGAAGGAAGCTGACTATACGTGCGGCAAGCTCAAAGAGGAACTTAATGGTGAAGAAGAAAGCTACCACAGATACTGTGATCCCACCTGCAGCAAGGAGAGAACAGAGGGTGGTTGAAGCAGCATGGCTGAGTCAGGCACTAAAATTCTCTCTGCATCAGCCCAAGCTGCCTTTTATTAATGACGTTCTACTCAACTGCAAATTAGGTGTTTAAGGCAGAAGCTACTGTGCGAACATTTATGGTTTGTGTTATGCTACAAAGAAAGTTAGAGAATAAGAAGTCCCTTAAAACTCTGCAAATGACCGCAAACAGAAGAAATAGGTAAAGGTGGTACAGAGTCTCAGGTACGGCTAGCAGATATCCCAACAGAAGCATGAAATTCCCTTTGAGTTGCAATTAGAACTACAGAGACTCCTTTACAGGAAACAGTCATATAACCACACAAGCCCTGCACATCACATTAAGGCTAGATTAAGAAGCATCACAGAGGCAACAACCCTGCACTAGTTCTCGAAAGAGAAAGTAAAGGGATGGCTTAGGAATGAGGTCAATGGAAGGAGTTTAGGAACAAAAAGAATGGTGGAGAGGCAAGTCTGCCAGGTGGAGGGCACAGTGCGGGGTGACAGTAATTTCATGTTTGTTAGGTAGACTCTGAACTAACATGAAAGCAGAGGCTTTCAAGAAACCCTTCTAAAGCCTATGGAGAGGTCAACAAATACAGTGGCAGCCTTTCCTTCACTTACCAATAATGTAAAACATCAGGTCCCTTCGGTGAGACACACAGCCGAGGATCACAGCTGCATCTAGAACACAAAATAGGCCAAGTCCAGTCCAATGACTCTTCCTCACACACATTGGCCTAAATTTAGTCTATGATTCTTCAGACAAGTACCTATCGATCATCTATCTTCCTCTCCAAGGACATCCTTAAAGCATTATTCCATAACACTGAAATATGCAAACAGCACAGCATGCTACAAGGAACAGTTCTCCCTCCATCACAGATTCCCACTCAGATTCAGGGATCTATAAGAAGGACAATATATTATCTTCAGAAACCAGTGAAAGCAGGTTCTGGGTACTGCAAGAAGGAGCTACTTTTTGCTGGATCACCAACTTCAACAGCAGTGGCCGAAAGCTACTCATCCAAACTCACACCTACCAGCTTCTGCAAGTCACAAAGTTAACTTTGAGTCTGCCATGAAAGCACATCACAGAGCCACCGTCAAAATGGACAGAACCTGACCCTCATCCAGCAACCTTAGAAGAAAAAGCTATGGAACAAAAGAGTTGTGGACAAGACCATCCCCATTTGTTCAGAACAAACAAAATCCTTCCAGGGCACAGCTGAATCCATTTTTTGCCCTGTAGCTCTACTACGGAAAGTACGAACGCAACTGGGAAACAGTCCATCTATATTTTCTTACTCACTTTAGCAAAGTGGAGTCTCGCTGCTGAAACTCTCACTGATCAACACACAAGCTAAAACCTTGTTTTCGTACACTATTAAGATTACAGCAATTTTTAGACACACCAGCCTAGAATCAAGTTCTCACTGAGGGGACTGCTAAACAAACATGTAGTAAGAAGACCGCACCCAGAACAACCACATGCTGTTTGGTTGATAAGACATAGCTGACAGATGGAACAAGAGCAGCAGCAAGGAACGTGACAATTAGACAAACAATTTGGCATACACTAATGCATACAATATAGCTCGCCATGTCACCATTCAGTTAGTGAGAAGCTACATTGTGCATTCAAGCTGCTTTTTTTTTTTTTTAAACGAACACAAAAGGGGAGTTACTCATCAGTCATCTCAACAGCAGCAGCAATGGACATCAGTATGCAGAAAGCTTAAATGAGGTATTTCATCCCAACAATAGCCATGAATTTTCAGCCCAGCAATTCCCCTTTGCGGGCCTCCACAGATATTCTACCCCTCCAACCAAAAAGCAATCACATACCTTTATATAAGTGCCCATATCCTAAAAGCCAAAAACGGGGTACCCATTCTTCAGCATCCTTCCTCTTTGTGCCCAACACTGGGGCAAACGTCAGCAAGACGAGGCCATAGAGAAGATTATCACAGAAAGAGAAACTCCTGGAACTTGCATCACAGAATCACTGCTGGAAGGCAAGGACCTGAGCACAGCAATTTCTTCCTCTTTGTGGAAAAGGGTTGTCCTGCAATGCTGCTCCCTGTAGCTTGTTGTTTGCTAGCTTCCCTGCAAAAGGAAAAAAAGAAGAGAAAAAAGCTAGATCCCTCCATTGTTGTGGATGAAAGTAGAAACACGTGAGAGGTGCAAGAGTATCGCTAGATGTCAAATCCGTAAGAGAGGTGCTATAACTATATCGCTGTTGATGAGGTGCTAGGCTTCACCATATCTTTAACCTCCACCTTTCACAATCTCATTTCATTGTACGACCCCCTGAAACTAGCAGGTTCAAGACAGAACAGAACACATCCTGCCTTCATAGGTTTCATCAGGCCCATGGGTTTCATGGAGCAGCTAAGAACCTGCATGCTATTCATGAGGAGTGCTAAGGATGAGGTACCACTTCAAGCCTTCACATCCTTCAAAATGTCATGTACTATTCTCAAACTGATTTTGCCCAGATTTAGAGGGCTATTTATAGTCAAGTCTAAAAATAAATAAATCTTTGAAAGTTCTTGGACACCACAGCAAACTAGATCTTTTTCTTTTTTTTTTTTTGCTGCTGTTCTTTTAGGTATTCAGGAAACCAGTATCCTCATAAGGCATTTCAATTTCAGCAGCACTATCCACTAAATTACAGCTTACTGTCAGGATTGAGACAAAAAAATAAAAATCTAACAGAAAGGATTAATGCAGCCCACAAAAACCAGGACGGACGCCAGAAGAAAAGCTGCAGAGCCCACACAGTCGGCTATCTACTCATTCATTACACGAATTGTATAAAGTAGTGAGAATGAAATGAACAGACCCAGGCTCACCACAGCAGCTGTCTGTAAAGACAGTCACCTCTTCTGGGGATGCAAGTGATGCGCTCCTCCTGCCTGCCATACCACTGCCACAACTGCCACCTCCTCCTTACACCCCCCTCACCTACCTTCCTCTTCAGATGTCTCTGATTTCCCTCCATCCCGATAATCACACAGATTTGGTTGCCTTCGCGCACTTCCACTAGGCTTTCTAACGCATATGAAAACCAGCAGGTAAGTCTGCGCAGAGCTCTTTGATTGCGCTGCAGAAGCAGCCAGACTCTCACTGTCTTTTCCTCCCCCACATCTCAAGGAAAATCCCACCCACTCAGCTATTTTCTTCTTTCCTCTGCGTGAGCAAACAGCGTTGAAGTCCCCAGGGCATAAGTTCTCATTCTCCTAGATGAAGCTTCAGGTTTCTAAACTCATATCTCTGTGTATTAAGAATTGCAGACCTAGCAATTTCCTCGATATTTTAGTTCTTTCACAGTACATATCCAAGATGTGCTACAAATACCTGGTTGAAACTCGGCTCCAGCTTGGCCTGGCTGTGGAAGGTGTGTGGCTCCTCCCCACACAGCTGAGGAATTTCACAGAAACTTATCAATGTTTGGGAATCTATGAGATCTCACTCCAGCATCTTACAGAACCAGTCTCTTCACGTCACCAAAAGAACACTAACACAAAACTGGCCCTGTGGATTCATCTACCAAAGCTATTTCTGCCTCAGTCCATAACTCCTTCCCTTCTGTAAAGCATACCACAAGTCACACACCCTCTTTCTCAAAAGCATAAAAAGAGAAATATCCATCATTTCAACTACAAGGGTTTTTAAGTTAATTGAAGCCTGACTGTCTTGATCTGGGTTGCAGAATTTCAGAGCTCACTGGACATAGGAATGGAATTTGTTATGTCCCTCAATCACCACAGCAACATCTGTACATGAAGTGGTAAACAAGACACCAAGTCAGGTGGTCGCCAGAGATGAAGCGGCTGTCATACAATCAACTTCCCTCTAGCATACACACTGCCAGCAGCTTTAAGGATGCTCTTGCAGCTGGGATACATTGGGGTAAAGAACTTCATTGCGAGTATCTGGTATCCAAGGTATGTTGCCACTCACTTATCAGAATGCAGATCTAAATTAAAATAGTATCTGTGCTAAGAACTGCCAGCTAACAATCTGGGATATGAATTCTGAAAATCAGCAATATAAGGTGCCATTGTAGCTAGGCTGGGAAAAAAATGCTGAATTGTCCAACAGGCCTTCACGATCTTCATCCAAGGATAGAGCAAGCAATGGTCTCCTGCCATCTGCAGGGAAAATGGGGATTTGGAAAGCTTCACCTTGGTTTGGCTCAAGAAGTAGTACTGGCGTAATGGAGATAGACAGCATGGAATCATAAAATAACCCATATTAGTGCCATTACTTCTCTCAAGTCAGCAGGAGAGGAAGGCCAGTAATTGGAATACATTTTGTTTGTGTTATCGCTGCTGTGAAGCCAGAAGAACACAGTGCAAAGCTCCAGAAGGAAGCACAAGTGTAGCTGCACATACAAAAGGAACTGTAACACAGTAATGGCACATTCATGTGGCTACAGCCACAAAGTCGGCTAGGGGCATGCTATACAGAATGGATTTACTGAGGTCCTAGGAAACCTGTTGTACCTCTTGGTTTTTTGGTGCACTGATAAATTTAACTTCCTTTCTTCTCTCCCTTCACAAGTTCCAAAATTAAGAAGAAAGATGGATTAAAAACCTTTCTGCAGGTTGATACTACCTCATCCAACCAAGATGAGAGAACCCGTCATCTCTGTGCAGAGTGCCCTCTCAATCCATGCGCACAAACGTCCACCACCAACGGCACGTGCATCTGATGCTACGCACAAGGTGACAATTCTCTTATGAGTGAAAAGGCACATTATTTTCTCACGCGAAGTAAAGCATGCAAAAACCAACAACAGGAATGACCATGGGAACCTAACTTTAAAATATACTCACAGAAGACTGAAGAGTCAGTGCAAAAGGCACTGAGCAGGCTCCAGTATCAGCTTCCAAGGACAAAAACGACATCAGTGGCCAGCGTCCATACAAAACAGTCATTCTCTCATCAGGGTTGGAATTTGTCATATGCATTTACACATAAGCCAAATAAAATACTGGCAACAGGAAAAAAAAAAAAGAAAAAAAAAAAGGCGGCTATTGCCAGCTGCCTAAAACTAAGGACTTTTCATCGCAACTGAACCACCACCAGGGCTGTCAGCTTCCGCCATCCTCCTCAAACACAGCAAGCCAGCCAGATGGGAACTTTCAGGCCAGTCTCATCTTGACACCAGATCTGCTTCCCAAGCCAGAACAACGTTCAGCCACCTGCCACCCTACACACCCACGGGGAAAGCAGATCACCCGCTTCCCCCTCGATTATTTCCTTCACCCAAACCACTTGTGCCACTTAAGCAGCATCAGGGGAGCTCCATCAACTACATGTCCTCAACCAACAATTAAGCCTGGTACAATCATCCAGGCAGAAAGTTCAGCTGTGGTTTCCCAGACAAACCCAGTTCTCCTTTCAGTTTAATGTTCATCCTCATTCTCAGAGCCTCAGTCACAGTTCTGCTGAGGCCAGCACTTCAGGAAAGCACTCCTGCATAGTACCTCATTGGCTGCATAGCTTTTTCTCACCAGCACACCAGATAAACCCAGTTGCACTTGGAAGATACCAACAGCTACAAGTTCTCACTAATCCCAGAAGCTTGCATGAAAAGGGTAACAACAGGGAGGCCTCTCTCACCCTTCTCTGCACAGGGCACTAGAAACCAAGTGCTTGGGACTAGTCTGAGAATGTTGAGAACATTTCCTTACATGTGCAGCAAAGATATTTTGGGTTAAACTACTCCATGATGGCTGCAGAAAGGATAGCTGAACTCATGCTCGTTTGCTAGGATTTCAGGTCACCACTGCTGGCAAGGTCTATAGACAACGACAACCCACCGCTTTTCATGAAGCAGCTCACGAGCTAGAGCGCAGCAGAGCCAGCATTACGTTAATTCTTCAAAGCAGGCCAGCAAGCTCGGGGAGGTGGGCTGATGGCCTCCACAGCCTCCCAGCCCCGCAGAGCGGAGCTGAAGGGGGAAGCAGGGCAGGCCGCTCCGCTGCCGTTCGCCCTCCAGCCCGCACCAGCGGTGGGCTCGGCGAAGCCACCAAACCCCGCGTTTTTTCCACAGGTGCCAGCCCTCCCCCTCCTCCCCGGCGTGTCACCGGTACACCGACAGCGCCGCGCAAACAGCACGGCCAAGCCAAAAGAGAAAGCTGGAGGCCGCCACGCTTCCCGCCG